ACAGTTGAGCAGTGTTTCACAGCCTTTCAAGAAGAAGTGAAGATGGCAGATGAAGCCAGGTATTTGAGAGAAAGGAGGAGCAGGTAGTGAGAGGTTAGGAAAAAAAATCTAAAGAAGTGGAAAAAAGCAACACCAGCAGCCAACAAAAGGCACTCAGGGAACCAGCCAGTGCAGGCGGGTGGAATCCAAGTGACAGCGGGGTGAAGCTGGTGCTTCCTGGCCAAGAGACTGTGGCTGCAGGAAGCAGAGGAGGCTAAGTGGGAATGAAGAAGGGTGGGGGGTGGGAAAGCCTGTATTGCTGGTTACCAGTTGTTCTGTCTCCAGCTGGAAGCTCTGTGAAGCTGCTTTCTCATACCCTGTTTTCGCTGATCTCCAATAGGAGTTCAAAATGGTGGATCCATGCTGCTGTAGCTGTTAGGGGAACTCTGCATGTATTTCTCTTCTGTCTCTGTTCTTGGTCAGTTTCTTATTCCATTCGGTGCTTGGCTAAATTCTTTGTCACTTCATTTGATGCTTAGGGTTTCAAGATTGTTGTGTGACTCTGACTTAGTTTTTCTCATCTTTGCTGCGGAGGGACGGCGTGGTGCTTCTGACTATAGCACCATGTTGCCCGGAAATCCCTTAAGTCTCTAAAATGTGGACTCTTTAAAACAGTCACATTTTGATATTTATGAAGCAGGATGATGTCCCTTAAAGATGATCTGGCTAACAATGGACATGAACCATCACAAAGAAAAAAAAATCCCCCCTTTTTTAACACCACTCTGCTGCATAGATATATAGATATAGATATATTTTAAAACTTTTATTATAGAAATAAGTAGTGAACTCCTGTTTACCCACCCAGATTTAACACTTTAAATAATGTTGCTGCATATACTTTTGATGGCTTCCTGTGATTGCCAGTCTGTTGGACTACTGTTCACATTTCGTACCTACTGATGATGCCTCCATTCCATTCTTGGAGAAGGAATGACACTTTTCCTTTGCCTATTGTTTCTGAAAACTAACAAAATTTATTGTGGTTCATCTTAGACCAAGGTCCAACATCCTTTTATGGAAAATTTAAAACAAATGAAAACAACAAAGACAGTGACTTACAGTTATTCAACCACATTTTTCAAACTACAGTTAGATTCAGGCTTGCTTCTATGCCATGAGCAGGGCTCAGCACATATCCTCTAGCATGTGTGCTTTGGCATCTCCAAACCTCAAAAACCAAGCCTGAGTTTAAAATGAACTCAGCCCAAAGTATTTGGTCTTTGTCCTTGACTCCTGGGAGCTAACCTCTCCCAGGTGATTGAAGTGCTTTTGATGTGGTAGGGAGTGCTGGGGGACAGCTTTTAGATGGAAGTGACTTTTGAGCTGAGACCCAAATGGTGGATAGGACTTAACTAAAAGAAAAAGAAGAAAGAATGCATTTTATAGTAGCGGCAACAGTAAATGCAAAATCTTGGAGATAAAAAGAGGGATTTTGGCTTGACTGAACCACAAAAGATTAGGGAAAAGAAGTTAGAAAGAATGAATTGGTATATATGTCAGCTTTCTTTTTTGGGGGAAAAATTACAAGATACACATTTCATGCTCGTTTAATCCAGCCGCTTTTCATCACATGCATATATAAATTATTTAATTTTTCGTATTAGTTTTCTTTTCTATTTCTTTAGGTTTCTGTAAATATTGCTGGCTTGGTTCCCTCGATTTTTTTCTGAGTTTTCCTCAGTTTTATTAATTTAATCACATAGTTTTGGGGGATTAAATTTTTACTTTAGAAGTTGAATCCCTATTGCACTCCAGTATTATTATTATTATTTTTCTTGTTTAAAAATTTTATTGTGGTTTAAGTGGAAGTTTACAGTGCAAATTAGTTTATCATTCAAAAATTTATACACAAATTGTTTTGTGACGTTGGTTGCAATCCCCACAATGTGTCAGCACTCTCCCCCTTTCCCTTTCTACCCCAGGTTCCTTGTATCCATTCATCCAGTTTTCTTGCCTTCTTGTCTTTGCTTTTGGGCAGGTGTTGCCCATTTGGTCTTGCATACTTGATTGAACTAAGAAGCACTTCCTCAAGTGTGTTATTGTTTGTTTTAGGCCTGTCTAATCTTTGGCTGAAAGGTAGACTTTGGGAATGGTTTCAGTTCTGAGTTAGCAGAGTGTCTAGGGGCCATAGTCTCGGAGTTCCCCTAATCTCAGACAGACTAGTAAATCTGGTCTTTTGGTGTGAATTTCAATTATGTTCTACATTCTCCTGCTCTGTCCAGACCTTCTATTGAGATTCCTGTCAGAGCTGTCAGTGATGGTAGCTGGGCACCATCTAGTTCTTCTGGGCTCAAGCTAGTAGAGGCTGTGGTCCATACGGTCCATTAGTCCTTTGGACTAATATTTCCCTTGTGTCTTTGGTTTTCTTCATTCACCTTTGCTCCAGACAGGATGAGACCAACAGATGTATCTTAGATGGCCACTCGAAAGCTTTTAAGACTGCAGATACTACTCACTAAAATAGGATGTAGAACATTTTCTTTATGAGTGTTCAGTGACTTTTTGAAACATCTGGGTGTTTAGGCGATTGAGAATAATGTTGTTTTTCTTTCTTTCTCTCACAAACACAGTACACTCACACATCACACTTGGAAAAGACTATTTCCTCCTCATCTTTTCCTCAGCATAATTATTTTGAGATTCATGTATGTTGATACATGTATCAATATTTCATTCCCTTTTATTGCTGAGTAGTATTCCATTGTACAGACATTACACAGTTCATTTATCCATTGACTGTTTAGGACCATTTGAGTTATTTTGAGTTTTGGACTATTACAAATGAAGGTACTAGGAATATTCATCGACAAGATTTTGTTTCTATATGTGCTTTCTTTTCTTTTGGGTAAATACCTAGTAATGGAATGGGTAGATTGTATGATAGGTGTATGTGTAGCTTTTTAAGAGACTGCCAAACTTTTTTCCTTCCAATGTAGTTGCATCATTTTACATTCCCACCAGCAGTATGTGAGAGTTCCAGTTCCTCCACAACATTTCCGATGCTTGGAATCATCAGTGTTTTTCATTCTAGCCATTCTCATAACCTTGTGTTGTGGTTCTTGTTTTTTTTTTTTTTTTTTGTACTTAAATGAATGTTTACAGAAGAAATAATTTCTCATTAAACTGTTAGCACACATATTGTTTTATGACATTGGTTAACAACTCCATGACATGTCAACATTCTCCCTTCTCGACCTTGGGCTCCCTATTACCAGCTCTCCTGGCCCCTCCTGCCTTCTAGTCCTTGTCCCTAATCCCTGTATTATTTTAATAACTTATCAGCAATTATTACTTTTATCATTTACCTTATGACCTCATTTTCCCTTGAAAAGAACTTTTTTTCTAACTTTTATTTAACCAATAAACCAGTTGCAGTGGAGGCGGCTCCAAATCATGGAGACCTCCTGTGTCAGAGCAGAACTGTGTTCCATTGGGTTTTCAATGGCTGATTTTTTAGAAGTAGATTGCCAGGCCTTTCATCTGAGGCACCTTTTGTTGGACTTGAACCTCCAATCTTTTGGTTATCAGCAGAAGAGTAACTGTTTGCATCGCTCAGAGACATCCTGCTACAGATCTAACCACATGGTGTGGTTAATATACTGGGCTGCTAATTGAAAGGTTGGAGATTTGAGTTCAAGTGAAAGGCCTGGCTAATTTACTTCAGAAAAAACAGCCACTGAAAACACTATTGATCACAGTTCTACTCTGACACACGTGAGTTGGAGTTGACTCAAAAGTTACTTTTATGTAAGATGCTATTTATTCAAATTAATATAGACTCTTGTGATTTTATCCCTCAAAATTATAGATGTGTTTTCTAGGATTCTAAAAATTATAACTTTGCTTCCATGTTTAAATTCATTTTTTGGTATAGGTTATCTTTTGAATTTTTGACTTTAGCATTTTACTGTAGGTGCTGGACTTATTTTTTCATTTTTTTAAATTCAGAATACAATTTCCTTATAATGTGAGCTACACTGTGGCAGGGAAGTGTCAATTTGTTTGAAGCTCATCTTCCACAAATTAAGCACTCATGGTTGTATTGTTTTGCATTTACTTATTGATTAATTATTTAATAATTAATGATAAGGTAGTCATCATTTAAAAAATTTATACTATTTTTCAGTTTTGGTTAAACTAAATAGAAGATAAAGTAATTAATATATTAAACTCTATTTGAGCAACTGGATTTTTTTCAAATTGTAATACATTTAATTCCTCAGCTGTAATTATGACTTTGACACTATACTTATAATTTCATGGGTTTTTTTTGAAAAGAGCTTTACTTAGCTCATTTAAGGTACTTTCTTGTATAATCTGTGAATTTTTTAACTTTGAAATTTCAGCATTTTATTTATGTATGTGTGTAGAAATATTTAACTTCTGCTTCTATTCAAAACACATTTATTTGGACATACATTTGTTTTTGTTATATTTACTTTTATATTATATAATGTTATTCTTTAGTAATGGTGTGCTTTTAAAATTTTAGTCACAGAATTATTAATGAGCTAAATAAATTCAGGGATATTATTGATTCTTAGTCTCCGCCTGGGACTAGGCCTACCAACAGCTACGTATTCAAAAAGGTTTAATTTAACCAATTATTAAAAATTTCAATAATTTTTAAATCAAAAGAGATAATGAACACTTTAAATCCAGTCATTTTATGTGAGTCCAAGAAAATTCAAGGTAAGCTATTTTTTGTTTGGTTTGCATGTTTGATATTTTGTTTCATTTCCAATTTTTGTTTGCTAGATTGGAAGTAAAATCAGCCTTACGTTTACCAAAAAATATTATCATGACTTCTGATTAGGGATATTATCCTGCAAGTGGTTTGTTTGTGAAGGAATAAAGGAGTGTTTTTTCTGGGTGCAGTAAGTGTTTGAGAAGGTTAGCCTGAATCAAATGCAGATCAAGAAGAGACAAACAGATTTGTAACTTCATGGTTTATTCTTAGCTTGATATTTTATTCCCAGACTTGACCATTCTCTTACTTCTTTGTGACAAACGCAATTCTTTTGAAGGAGTCGCTGAAGGCTTGTCTCACTTGTTTGTTTCTCAGAGAGTAAATGAATGGGTTCAGCATGGGAGCAATGGACGTCATTAGCACTGTCACAACTTTATTAATAGCCACTGATTGCTTCGCTGAAGGGTTGACATAGACAAAGATACAGTTGCCATAGGTGATGGAAACCACAATCATGTGGGAAGAACAGGTGGAAAAGGCCCTTTTTCTTTGTTGGGCAGAGGGGACTCTTAGAATGGTCTTGACAATGTATATGTAGGATAGAACAACACATACAAGGGTCAGAATGAAAGCGAGCACAGCACAGGCAATAACCAGTTGCTCTATGATCCATGTGTCTGAGCAGGAAATCTTCAGGATAGGATACACATCACAGAAAAAATAATCAATGACATTTGAGTCACAGAATTTCAAGTTTAGGAGCAAAATAAGTGGTGGCAGTAGGATCACTAAGCCAGCGATCCAACAGCAGAGGACAAGTTTCTTGCAGACTGTGCTGCTCATGATGGTCACGTAGTGCAGTGGCTTGCAGATGGCCACATAGCGATCATAGGACATGATAGTCAGGAGGAAAAATTCTGTCACTCCAAAGACATCAATGAATAGTAGTTGAATCACGCAAATATTATAAGCAATTGATCTGTCACCTGTTGCTATGTTGTACAAATATCTAGGAATGCAAGCAGATGTGAATGCAATTTCTAATAAGGCAAAATTTTGTAGGAAAAAGTACATGGGCGTTTTCAGGTGGGAGTCAGCTAAAGTGAGGGATATGATGGTCAAATTCCCAGTTATACTCAATATATAAGTGAGAAATAGAAAAATAAAAATTGGAATCTGCAGTTGAGGGTCATCTGTCAGTCCCAGCAGGATAAAGGTTGTTATTGTGTGGTTTTTCATCACTCACTTCTAAATTTTATCCAATATTCATGTAAAATTTAGAGATATTTTTATAGAAGAGAATGGTGTCAAAGTCAGAGAGTAATAAACAATGACTACTCGGGACAGCCCACTCATCTGTCAGTTTGTTGTGTTATCGTGGCTTCGGTATTGCTACCATGCTTGTGGTTGTTATGCCAACGGTATTTCAAATACCGGCAGGGTCACCCATGGTGGACAGGTTTCAGTGGAGCTTCCAGACTAAGATAGACTAAGAAGAAAGGCCTGGCTACTTACTTCAGAAAAGTAGCCAATGTGAAACTTTGGATCACAACAGAATATTGTCCAAATCACTTGTCATCTGGAGGGATCAATTGCTAGAGCAGGAATGAAGGCAAGGGAGACCTTTGGTGAAATGGTTTGGCACAGTAGCCGCAAAGATGGACTAGAATATGCCAGCAATTGTGATGATGACGCAGGGCCAGACAACATTTCGTTCCACTGTCTATAAGGTCACTGTGAGTCAGAGTCAACTTGATGATAGCTAATACCAACCAAAACTAGGGACTGCAAACTAATTAATATGTGGTTTCTTCTGTTTATTAGTAATTGATATTGTCAATACTCTGATGCACTTGGCTACTCAATTGTGTATTTTTTTTTTTTTGATTTCGATGATAAATTTTTAAAAATATTAAAAAAGTCAATTTACCATTCCAACACCCCTTTTTGTTTCACATTTTTAACCAACACTCAGGATTTGATTTTTCCATGTGGTTAGAATTGACCCATCATGTGTTGTGATTCAACAAAATTACGCTTTATTTATACATCTAAGAATTGTTTTCTATTTTAAAGGTGAATATTTAAACCTAATAATTTGTTTCATGTCTTTCCTTGAAGACTCGGTGCTTGATAAAATGTGAGTATCCAATAAAGAATTTGGTCTCCTTACATAGCCTTCGTTAATTCATCTGCAACTTGTATTTTGTAATCTATCACTATGACCAAACATATGCTTATGTTGCTTTCTTTTATGTTTTAAGGCAACTTCCACATCATTGAATTACTCCTTTGACTCTTTCTATGTTTCTCTGCTAGTCTGTAGTTTATCCTCAATGTCCACTGGTATACACAATGCAGAGAATATTTTAATGCACAATTCATTTGCTCTAGTGAAGAAATGTTTGGTCCAAGGATATACAAATGGAAAAAAACCATATTTCTCTTATGTCTCTAATATGTCTAGTTAAGTATGGCACACACTCTAATACTTGTTATCAGTATCACCAACTTCACAATCAAACAGAATACTAAACATGCTCTCCAAGCACTGCCTGTCTGTACTCACTACCTGGCTTTCCCACTTACATCTGTAAGAACTTGTCAAGATTTCCAACCTTGCAGGCCCTTAGTTTTGTATATAAAATGGGGGATAATAATAGTATCTACAATATACAGTTAAAATGATTAAAAAGGATAATACAGATATCACATTTACAAAACAATCTGGTACATAGTAAGTACTTCACGTATGTCGGCTGTTACTATTTTCTGGTTTCTCACAGAAAATTCATGTGTTGTAATCACAAAATCCAAAGTAAAACTTATGCTCTGTGTATCCCATATCTTCGTCCTCTGACTTTATGTCCCTTATAATAAAACTAATAGATTATGTTTATCGAAAAAATTTACCATAGATCTTAAAGTAAGCACTTCACATGGATTTTCTGTCTGGAAAAAAATCTCCCTTCCTATCCTTTCCACTTCTCCACCCCATTTTTGCTCCTCATTCTCCCAAATTTTGTGGACACAACTACTTATTTGAGATTTTCAATCTGAGCATCACTCCCACTGGACAGTCTTCTAAAAAGCTATTTATGATCTGTGTTGCCTGCCCCTCATTTGTGCTCCTATACTCATAGCTGTTACTTTTCTTTTAGCACTTACTCTGAGAAAGTAAGTTTGTTGAAATCAGGTGACCATTGTCTTTTATACTGGAAGAGCTACTACAACAAACACAATCTTAGACTTAAACAGTCAATGCCTAAGAAATACTGTATAAATACACTTATCTAATTCATTTGGAGACACATTCAAAGCTATTTTCTGTCCTATCTGGATTTCATTTTGCAACTGCTTTGCCAATGATTTTAATGATTTGAATTTTTAATGTCTCTGTCTTTAACACTGAGATTTTCTTTTGTATTTGAAACAGGACTTTTGTTAGTGAATAAAGTCATACCACGAAACCATCACCCTCTCAGCTTATATTATTACCTTCTTTGCTGACCAAACTGTTAACTGGCACCGCCTCCTTGCTTTAGCTGCCAAGCAGATAAATAGTTGAATCTTTGTTGATGGCTGTCTTTGCTTGCTTGAAGATTCTGTTAGTAAGATATTCAAACCAGAGATCAAAGAATTTGCATATCTAAATACATGATTTTTCATATGCTATTCCTCTTAAAATATATTGTGAATATTTTTACACCTCTATTGATGATAAGTGAGCTTGATTAACATTTAGTTTCGATTCACAACGTTCATATAATACCAGCTTTTAAAGACCGCTTTGTTTTTGCTAATTCATATTATTTCCAGTTTTCACCCATATTAAAATAGCTTTATAATATACTTCAGGTTTTAAAATAAATTTCAGACATACTTTTATGCATTATCTCTTTGTTTTCTACAATTGCTAAACTGACTGCAGAAAGTATCTTTTAATAAATACTACTGCACAATTTCATAATAATCCCTCAAAATGAAATTTCAAGGACAAAGGATATATTCACTAGTGTACATTTATTTACCAAGGCATTATCTATAAACTTTATATCATTTCCTTTCAATTCACCATATGACTGTGTATAATTGCGTCTACCCTCAAATCACTACACTATATTATGTGTGTTTTTTTTCCCCAAGATTATTGACACTTTTATTTGATGTAGGTTTTGGTGCCATTGAGTCTTCATTCACACCGTGAAATAGTCATTTGTTCAGTCTGCATTTAATACTTGTGCTAGACAAAAATGGTAGGCTTTCATCTTTGTCTCCTGTAGATAAAGGTTTTTTTTTCTTAATTTTTTCCATTATTGTCTCGGTGCATCTTTTCTGAATGTTATAAATCCAGTGGTTAAGGACTTTCTAATTCTAGCTTTGGGTTAATAGTTGCTCTGTAGTTTTTTCTGAGCTATCACTAGTGTACTCCAATATGTTTTAGTTTTGAGTTAGTATCTCCGGGATTTGAGTGTCTCTTATACAGAGATTTCCTAACAAACCTCAATGAGCTTGTCATATGAATGGTTCCAATTTTCCTGTAAAATATTTTCCTTCTGCAGAGATCAGGGCAGGATGATTGGCAGTGATAGGACCAGTTACTATAGTTAAACTCTCAAGGGTTACGGTCACCATCATTGGGAAGGAGGGTCAACAATGTGTTTTGAACACCTGTGACATTGCTTGGAATTTAGGGATGCACCAGAATAATTAGAATTGATAATTGAAATTGTAGGGAAGGGCACTCTTTTCAGCCTTCCTAACTCCCTCAATCTACTTCTTCCCAACCCAGAGGCTCCTAGCGCATTACATGTTAATATGCAATGCTAAAGAGCATGTTAACATGTTCTTTCCTGTAGTCTCTGTATCTGGCCTTCCTCCAAAATCTCTTCCATTAGTCCATTCCTTAGTAATTCTAGCTTTTAGGGGTTAAAGTTTAAGAAAATAATTAAATATTTCAAAATTTTTATATCCTAAAAAAGTACAGGGATAACTAGTTTTGTCAATAATAGTTAGATAAATTGTTATATTGGGGGAAATTTTAATGTAGGTAAACTTTTTTTTTCTTTAAAGAGGAGTATGAGGGTGTGCACTTTCTCACTGTGTATAAATTCACATAACCTTTATGTTAGCTATCCAAAGCAGCATTAAAAACATACAACTCAGAAAGATCTGTGAATCTTTATGCAATAATTCAAATAGCTAATTACATCTGATTCTGGTAAATTACATCAATTCTTCTCAGAAAACTATTATGTACATCTCCCAAGGTTGAAGGTAAGTGAAATTGTAACAACTGTACTTACTCTTCTGAGAGTTAATAAGCGCTTCAGCTGATTCTTTAAAGGCAATAGTCCTAAAGAGGCTCACCGGATGAAGAAGACCTGCTTAGAAAGGGCTTGTGCGGGGTCTACTTGTCTTTCCACTTAGGAACCCCACTTACTCTCACTGGCGCTCTGGATGGACCTACAGTTCTGAGTATTCTCATCTCCAACACAATTGAGAAGATTGTCTAAACAAGGACTTCGGTCCCTTTTATGCCTAGGAAATATTTTCTAGCTCTCTTTAGGCTGAAAATAAAATGTTGTTCAAACATTTACCTCTCTGGTTTTGAAAGAGTTGATTTTATGACCTGTCTGGATAGGTGGAGTGACTTCTACACAAGATTTCTATTTGGTTTATTTTGCTAAACCTGAAACTAAATAATAAACAAATAGGTCCTTGGTGACACAAGCTCGTAAGTCGCTAATGAGTCCTTTTTATAATGAATTTGGGCAAAAATCCTTCAAGATGCAGCAGTGGGGACAGTGTCCTCAGAGACACAATAGACAACAATAGCAACATACTGGCCAAGATATTTTAGAAAAAAAATTAGATGGTGAAGAACAAGTCTGCCTTTCCTGTATTTTTTTCCTACCACCTATGGCAGCTGATAGGTGGCAGAAAAAAAATGCAGGAAAGGCAGACTGGTTGACTTCCCCATCCACCGTTTTCTTCTCAAATATGAAAAAAGATAACAAAGCTCAAAAATATTAGAAAACTCAAAGCTAGTGATATTTCTTTTTAAAATTTAAGGTTAGTATATGTGTTTTGTATATGAATACATATAAAAGAACAATCCTGTTTACATTTATAGCCTATTATCATATCAATAATCACAGAGGTGTTGCACCATGCATAATATGTGTTTTGGGGTATTTCATTTGTATTTTTAAACCAATCTTATTTGTTTTAAACATATGCACTGTTTTTATTATTATTTGAAAATAGTTTCATAGTACTCAATTGCATGATTCTATCATATT